ATATATATGTATATATATATATATGTATATATACATACACTGAGAAAAAAAAGTTAGTGAAGTAACAAAATAGTATTCGATTCAACTATATGAATCGGTCACGGGGTGTCAATAAAATATTGATTAATGTAAGAAGATATCATGTTTCAATAGATATAATAATTAGATTATACCGAAAGACAATTTTTAGTTGTTTTAACAAAATTATAATTTGCTTAAATACAGGTAACTTTGAATGTACAACACAATAGGACAACACAATATTTTGTCTGCTTATAAAAATAAGCAGTTTGATTAAATGAAAAATGCTTAGTACAAAGAAATTCAGATTATATTCAATTAAAGTAAATGAGAATTGCCTATTTCATCTTTTTTAACAGTATCTTTTATTTGAAATTATCACAACTTATGTTCGACAAAACAATTCATGGTTTAGTGAATTAAATATGTTCATTACCACTATTGTTAATTCAACTTATACGAATTTGTTATCTTTTTTTACCATATGCTTGAATTAAAAAACCAAGTATTTCAGATAACAAACTGAAACTCAACTAAACGCATTTAGTTGAGTTAATAGTATTTTTTTCTCAGTGTATATATATATATATATACGCAGTTTTCCGCACAACATCCTGCGATCGGCTCATATGACCGTAAATATATTTCGTAGTTTAGTAACAATACTTCTGTTAACGGCAAATATTCTCGACACTCTCATAAATTATATAGTACAGATACAGAATACGCACTATGCACATTCGAGTAAAAATAAAAATTTATAGTCTGAAAATTTTAATATTTTCAGAAGAAACACGGATATAAGTTACTGCAAAATCACAGCAGTAACACGGTATGTAATATGCGTTGGAATTAATAACACAAAAAACGTGAGAAAAACGTTTGTTATAACGTGAGATGTAAATAAGGGGAAAGTTGCGATAAAAGTAAGAAAAGTGTGATAAAAATGAGGTGACACTTTGTTTTATAATTTTAAACATATACATTTCGGGCTTTTTTTTAGGAAGAAAGGAAAATAGAAGACAAGTGTGAGAAAACACAGAAAGCGCAGTTGTAAAAAGAAACAAAAATCACAAATTCTGTTTTTCAATATTGCATTTTGTGTAAAACAATCAATTTTAAGATTTTTTTACTGTGTACGAGCCGTCGAACGAGAATGGTATAAGTCACTAGTATTAGAAATATTGTTTCTTATAGTTATTTCCAATTAGATTCTCAAACTTTTTATATATAATTTAACTATAAAATATCTCTTAATTTAGTAAATGGAATTAAAAATACAAATTACATTAAATACAATTTTTTTTATTATAAATTATATGTATGTATATAAAAAGATTTTAAATAATATTAAATATAGAATTTTATTTTTTAATAATTTAGCTAAATGCTGTATCGTTTACGTATCTCTTCTTTTGTTCATATTAAATTAATTTTCGAAGTTTTTCTTTTCGCGGCAATATGACTTCTATCATTGCAGTGCAACGGCCCATCCGTCAATTTGTCATATTATTTGCGTAGCCTTATTAACAAGTAGTGTCGAAGCGATGTGGAAAACTGGCGGTCGGAGGCGGGCTCCTGTGATAAAAAGCAAATAAGCCGAGCGTTATTTACCGCTCTCCACATCCGCGCTTTCTTTTTCGGCTCGCTGTCGAAAGACGAAAGACGCGCGAGCGCGCAAAGAACATTTATATTAAAAAAAAAAAAAAAAAAAAAACAATCTAGTGAAATATTAAAATAGATTATATACAGATAAAAAATCTTAATTATTTGTAATTATAATATTCTTATTTTTATTATTATATATTATATATTATATATAAAAAAATGAAATTAATATAAAATTATAACTAAACACTTGACAGTTCGAGGATGTTTTGTAGTATCGATTGTGAGAATTTGTTAGTCTCCCCCGACACATACACACACACACACATACACAATAATTAATTACGTACACGTAATTATACTATTTTTAATTCTTACCAAATTACAAAGAACATTGTAGCCCATTTTTATACGTATATGTATATTGTACACACCGTATATACATATATAGTGTATTATTCTTTTCCTCCTTTTTATTTTTTTGATCTATCCTTTCTTTGAACGATCCTTTCGCATCGCAGAATATGATGTAAGAATACCGAAAATCGGGAAACAGGGTGTTTTCCGGAAAAAAAAAAAAAAAAAACGCTTTATCGATAGTTGACAAATTTAGTAGGTCGGACAAATCGAAGTAGGTCGGTGAGTGAAGGCTGAATAATTTCACATTTCGAATTGATACGTTCGCGCGCACAATTGGTTTTTCTTCTTCCTACTCGGGACAAAGACGGTGTACATTGTAATGTTACACACAGTAAAGGTATATAAAAGATATATAAAAACTTTTAAAATGTTCGTGATCTGTAAATTGCTTGATAACGATGAGAAAGAAACGAGGAAATAACGAGTTTTTAAAGTGCCCCCAAGTAAAATATGAGAACATAAATTATAAATATAGAGAGAACACACATAATAAATTTATATATATATGTATAGATAAATAACAATGCAGTTGTATGCAAGCGTACGCGAGTATGAGAGTGAAAAAAAATATGTTGATTTACCGATATACTTATTTGTTTAAAATCAAGATATACAATATTATTTCTTAAGATAATAACTTATTTCAACAAACAGGGAGAATGATTGTACGTATGCTAATTAATATACTAATTATATATGTCCGATATATATATATATATATATAAAGTTTTATTTAGGAATCAGTTTTAAATATACACAAAAATACACGGAAAAAGAAATATATAAAATAAATACAAAATAAAAAAAAAAAAACAATAACCTATATATAACTAAGTTTGTGTGTAACAATTGATTTTTGCCGGTGCCTTTTTATAATAATATATATATATACCTAATCTTCGGTTATACTTCGACATACACTACAATCCGCAAGACAGGAGGTATAGGCTGAGTGAAGCGTTTTTAATCAATTAAAATGTAATTAAATTACTGCGATCATAAATGTAATTGCATTTTAATTACTAGCACTTAATAATTATGTATTAAATCGTAATTATTGTGGTAATTGTTATAATTAAATTAAATTACATTTTGCACACACACACACTACTTTAGAGATGGAAAGGAAAGAAACGGATTATTTCACAATAGAACAAGCTGAAGAATTGTAATTTACAGAAATCATCGTATATTTGTTTGTGATAATAATATATCGTCGATATAATACATTTTCTGCAATAAATTTATTACCGCTAGGGAGATAACACAAAAAAAAAATCATTCTTTCTATGATTCCTATACATTTGTAAATTACATAAAACATACATTAATATTATAATTACAAATGTGAGTATCAATCGAGCACGAGATTTTTTTTATAATGCGACTCTTCAACAATAAAGGCAAAAAACGATGCTGAAGACAGAGAACGCAGAAAAAAAACAAAATGGATATACATTGCTCTACACAAGAGAACGAGACTCATCAAGATTACATTAAAGCCGATATAATTGTGTATCGGTTATTAATCTTGATTTTATGTAAATCTCGAAATTCTTTTCATTGATATAATATTTATATTATTACATAGAATAGAATGTTCTCTATAATCTACAGATGGCAGCAAATTACCACATTTAGTTCATATCATGGAAATATATATAATCAAGGAGGAATATGTATATATATTTAGCAATATCTATATTTATATAAATACCACTTTAAATAAAAAGCTCCTCTAACAATAAAAGTTTTTAATCTAGTTTAAACAACGTTACATGATAATTTAAATTGTTTTATATAGAACTTTCGCAATTAAAGCTTTTTTTTTATTTTTATTCTCGTAAAAAAAGAAGAAAATAATGCTTCAAACCGAAGTGTACTAAATTATGGTCAAAATGCATCTGTACTTTTTTTTTATTATGCATAACCGTAAAGTTTAGTATCGTTCCTACATAATACGATATTTTAAACTTACGCCATCTGAAACTCACGTAAAGTATATAGTCTTCGCTCATCAATCTATATACAAAGTAATAACAATAAAATTCGAAACTTCGGTCTGAGATTTAAAGCAACGTGCGTTCGGAGTTTTGTACATTCGCAAGTCCGTTCATTCTTGTCGCCGCCAAGTGAACTTCGCCCGTTGGCTTGTCGCTTCTGCTGTGGGAATGGAAGTTGTAGGATGGAAATACGGACATCCTTTTTTTTTGCACAACGGATAATATTTGCATTGCTGTGGTGCGTGGTCACGAGTGGGATGAGAAAACACGCAGCTCAATTTGGTACAGGACAAACCGAATTTGCACTTGGGATGTTTATAGGCACATTTGTCTCCAAACTTACATGCCGGGAAGGCACTACCGGGAAAAAAAGAAGTTAAGCAAACCCATGATCGAATTCAGATTATTATCAAATAAACAATACACAAGTCCATGTGTCTTTTTGTACGAAATGAGGAAAAAAGAATAAATAATAATGAATGAATAAAATATGCAAGTTTTCTTATAGAGAAAAGAGTACGTTACCTGCACATAGGATGAAAGTACGCGCACTTGTTCCCTGATGTACAATTTGGCCAGTATTTACACTTCTCTTTGGACTTGTCTAAAAGCGTCGGAACAGTGTTTTCCACCAACAGTTTTTTGTCTGCATCTGGTAGAATTAATATAAATAATATAGCACAATATGTTACACATATTTCATACAAAAGATAAAATTTAGATCTGATGCACACTTTTGAGGGTTACCAATGACACGGTATCGGGTTTCAATGGTGCAGGGCTCGGGGAATGAGATCTGTTGTACACTATGGGGCTCAATTTTCTCCGTCTTCGTGGCGCCTCGTCAGTCTTATCCATGTTTTCCGTGTTGCAATTCTCATTGTTCTCCTCTCCGTTTGTTTCTTTCGGACATGTGATCATCACATCGTCCTGCGTGGTGTCCGTTGTTATTCTCAATGCATTACTATCTATTTGGCTCTGTGTCGCCGCGACGTAAGTTTCGCTTTGCGTCGTCAAAAGCGCAAGCTCATCCTCGTTCACCTGTGAGCATGAAGAGGATCGTGTATCTAGAATATATAGGCGCAACGATTAAAATGCGAAATTCGCTTCGCGACCAGTGAAAATTTTACCTCCATCTCCAATCGTTCTTCATCCTCTTCAGGAGCAATTTTCTCTTTTGCTGGATTATTACTGTATCCGTTAAGTGTTACTAGAAATTTTTGATTGTTGTCGTTTCTTTGGAATAATGACATCACAACTCCCATATGGTCATCCGTTACCGCGTTTACCGCCTGAGGTACATCTATGATTTTGCGCAATAGTGTGAGTAAGTTTGTTACAAAAGCTGCCACAAGTCGGATGAAAGAGTTAAATGTTTGTCTCGCGAAGAGCGACTTTGTTAGAATCTTTATTTGCTTGAAAGCTCTCCGATAATGTTGGGTTTTATATGAAGATGTTTTTTTTTTTAAGTACGAGTATGGGTTGTAACTCTTTCAAACACTAGTATCAAAAAAAAAAAAAATTTTTTTCAAGACTTACAAGGCTCCGGCTCGACGTCTTCAGCTTCCTGATTATCTACCGTATTTAATTCAACTTGGATCTTTTCCATAACTAGTCTCTTATTAGAATTACCGACGAGTATCGATAAGTTTTGACTTACACCACGAGCCAGAGCAGGCTTTAAGATCGGCTTCTTGCCCTATTAAGATTGAATTTTCGATGAAAAGGAAGCTTTTTTCTCATTTTCGACGTTTATCAGAAATATAGATATATTGAGAAGGAGAGCTCGGATGTGTTAAATAATTTACTTGAATAATTTGTTAATTTTTGAACAACAAAAAACTTACCACCAGAGACGGTTCCGGATTCTTTTGTGCGACAACAGACTGATTCGCCTCGGCAACCGCTCTCAACAAAAGTGATTGCGTAGCGCGCTTTTGTAAAGGCTGCAACGGCTTTAAAGGTCTTGGTGCGACGATCACTTTGCTCGGAAGTTTTGTGTCTTCAACATCTTTGTCCAAGTCACTAGATGTTTCTTTTTTCGTTTTATTTAAGTAAGACTTAAAATGTTGAGTTGTACTTGAAGAAACTTCATCCAACATTCTCGGACGTTTTTTCTCAATCTTCGCTACGGAACCGGGCCGAACTTCGGTTGCAGATCTATTTATCGCGACTATGTGCGACTTCACAGGACCTGTTCGCAATTCCTCATGACTATTTAGCTCATCCTCCTCTCCCATCTTCTCCTCGGTATTGAAATTCGGAGATTCGTATTCGTCGCTACTGCGGGATTGCTTTTTATTCTGTACCGGCTTGAAATTGTTTTTCAACGGACCTAGTCTATTCTTAATATTTTTGCTGCTGTTACTGTTGCTGCTGCCTATTTGTTCAAAACTTTTCGAGTTGTGCCTGTAGTCCATGGGTTCCTGCTGCTTGACAGGCTGTTTCTGCATCTTGGTATCGACGTTCGCTACGCCCAAACGGTTTTTAATAGTACACACGGACTTCTTTGCAGTAGTGTCTATTTTCGTGCTCGAACTCTGACTCTTCTCCCGAAACTCGGCATTTTTGCTCAGTCTTTCGTTTTTGCTACTTTCTATCCGACTTCTCGCGTCGGTGATCTTGTTCATTTCGTCATGATCGTTGTCGCGATTTCGCCTGGAGCCGCGATTGTCCACTTCAAAGTTCCTATTCCTGTTACGATTATTATCATGGTGATAGGAATTTTCGAATCGTTTCTCCGTGTGATAGCGACCGCTGTCTTCTTTTTCTCTGTAAGAATCAAATTTCTTTCTTAGCGACGCCACACCCAGCCGATCTTTAACCGACACAACGGATGTGATTTTTGGCTTGTTTACGCAGGATTTGAGTTTTTTTGACGCGTCCGAGGATGACAATAACGTTGCATCCTCTTTTTCTTCCTCGGATGTTTTTGATCGCTTCGCATTGTCCTCTTTCTCCGCACTGTCGTAACGATTCTCCGCGCTCGATGTATCCAGTGATCTTTTCATACTCCTACCAGATGTCTCACTTTGATTGTGTTGCAAATCCGTGATTTTAGCAACAGAATCTTCGTGCACATCCTCGTCTATTTCCATCCTATTGTCATCATGTGCAATATTCTGCTTCTTGGAAGAAACAGAATCACTTCTGTTTTGCAACGTTTCATCTGTTCTATATTTGTCATATATTATCTTTGTGTTTTTCTCTGTATTCTTATGTTCTGAATTTTGATTAGATACAGATCTTGAAGTTTGTTGTTTCGGTCCAGATTGTTGTTGCTTCTCATTCTTGTTTTTATCCGAATGTCTTTCCGTTGTAGCCTGCTCGGCTGTTTGATCTTCTAGAAACGAAGTTGCAGATACCTTTCTCTTCTTTCTCTCCTCCTCCTGCTTCACCACAACCATAGGCACTAACTCGCGAGATTTCTTTTTTGCTACCGTAACTTTCTGTAGTTTCTTCAGCACTTGATCGTGCAGCCATTCCACAAATTCGGTCGTGCAGTCTTCCAAAAACAAATTTAAGTCATCGTGCATCTGTTGACGTGTTTTCTTATTAGCTACCATGACCAGTATATAATCCGGTAATTCCTCGTCATATCGGACTTTTAACTCCTTGAGTTTGGCGCGAATAGCGCTCTAAAAAAAAGAATAAAATTTATTTTAACAATCACGTTATTGATTAACATAAATTTCAATAAAACGGATACGAATACTTTTAAACTCGAATATGCGAGTCATAAAAAAAAGAAATTTCACATGCACGTTAGAGAACTCGCGCTGGAAAGTACTTACTCGAAGTTGATTTGTGATGCCATGTGTGTCCATGATTTTCAAATTAATCGAGTCGAGCTTTTTACTAGAATTCGGACGGGATCACTTTCGTTATGTGGTCGGTAATCGATCAAGATAATACCCGATGCAATCGCGAATTAGCAAATCATAGAACGAAAACATTCCTCGCCATGATAGGCCGCTGTGCAGTGTGAGAGATTGCATGAAAAGTTTACGACACTATCTTTTGTGCGCATGTGTCTTAGTTTAGGGCTGCGTTCCGTTTCACGCATTATGCGCGCATGTATCTATAGTACACGTCACGTATAGTATAGATAAATGCGCGCATATGCGTGAAACGGAACGCAGCTTAGTCCTCACAATGGGTGCGTTCAGACAACTCAACAGTTGCACAACGGTTGAGAGATAATCACTTCTGATTGGATCATACTTTTGGAACCGAATCAGATTTTGAAGAATGATCCTATCGTAAGTGATGATCTCTCAACCGTTGAGTTTTCTGAACGTAACCAATTTGTAAGGCCTGTTCTACAATGACTGTGTTCCAAAATTCACTGCCAGCGCTAAAGATCTATAGTTTACGTCACATATATTATACAATTTTAACACTGGCAGCGTGCTGGCAGCAATTCTGGAACACAGCTAATATAGACCCGTGCGCCGTTTTGGCTGCGGTCCGTTTCATGCTTGATCGCGCATTTATCTGTAGTATATGTCACGTATACTATAGATAAATGTGCGCTTAAGCATGAAACGGACCGCAGCCTTAGTATGGCGGCGGCCGAAAATTTTCTCTACAGCGGCAGCGGAATCGGCGGATGATAATTTATCGGCGGCGGCGGCGGTGAATGGGGACGTGAATATCTATTTTTTTTAAATAAAAGAATTAAAGTTTAAAATAATTAAATAGACTTGGTAAAACTATATCTTTAAGAAATATACGTTTTATTTTATATCATTTTTTTAAATTTAACTTTTACTAGTACGTCTCAAAATTCTTATCTTTTAATTATTTTAATTGTTTCTTATGTTTACCAATGTTAGAAAATATCCATTAATTCTGACGGAAATATTTTTAATCTTTCTTATTTAGAATAAACTTTACTTTTGACATCGGTCAAGCTATTTTTTTACATACAACTGATAATTAATTACCACTTCAAAGCACCGTACGAACTAAATAATAGCAATTGGTTGTTCGCAACTACGTCGTGTCGATAATGTAATTATTCTTTTTTTCAATTTTCTTCTCAACACGTATTGGCCATTTACTAAATATCTAACGTTAACAAATAACATGTATGTGTATATATGTGTGTAATAAATAAAATTATAATGTCTCCGGTATATAGAAAAAACGTATATTGTAAAAGTCTCGTTTAAAAAATTATATACTTTTATATGTAGCCACTAAATAAATACAATTATATATATGTAGAAATAGAAACACATTAAAAAATGAGTAGGATAAACAGTGTACGACTGTACACTGGCCGCGAGACCACCCTTCAGGGAGAAGTCAGATGGTGCAAAACGTGCGTAAGGCCTGTTCTACAATACAGTCGTAAACTGTGACCGGCCCAGTGGTCTCGCGGCCTGAGTGCAAGGGCTGCGAACCCAGATGCCTTCGAGTTCGAATCCGCTCATCGCCTAAGGATTTTTTCCGGTCCGGTCCCTTTCAATCGAGTTTATCGATTGATCGGTGAACTAAATCGAGACTCCAAAAATTAATTCGAGTGTAATCTCGAATTAATCTACCTCCCACAAGGCGATCATAGTCACAACATCTTGAACACGAGACCGACACAGATGGGGGGTATACCCACTGTGAAAGAAGGCCGTGTATCGCATGGTAGTAGTGTATTGCACAAACCCTCGCATAAGAATTGATACTTTTTAACTTGCAATTATTAGAAATTTTCAACTTTTTTATTTATAAAGTAAAACATTTGGCAAACGCACTTGCGCGAAATTTAATATTATTAAAGTTAGTATTTGTAA